TATATTTAAAATATTTTATATAAAGTGAATATCACTCTGTAATTATTTCTGTAAATTTTCATTAAAGCATTACAAACTTTCTTAGTTCTCATAGGTAATTATTTTTTTGTTGTAGAAGTAGTCTTAAATTCATTTAATCGATTATTTTTTGGTGATTTAAATCCATTGCTAAAAGTAGGAGAAGAAATTAACGACTAACTCATTTTATTATATTTGTATTATCTTATCCAATTAGATAAAGCTTTCATTAAGATTTTCTAATTTTTATTATTCTAAATTAGTTTCATTTTCTATATTTCAATTTCAAGTTTCTTATGAATTTATGTAAATGCAAATTGTTGTAATTACTTTCTTATCTTGTTAAAAGTAGTGTCTAATTAATAGAAAAATTCTTTTTTATAGAGGGTTTGTCTTTATTCTTTAACTTTGAAATAGGATATATGGGAAGTTCTTGGAATTTAACGAACAGGTGATTTTGATCTTGAACGAATAATTTGATTAAAATTCATATATATTCATATAAATTTTGATTTCTCAACAAAATACTATCTAATTATTGTTCTATTGCAATAATTCTAAATTATTGAATTCTTATCAAGCATTAATAAGGATAGTTGAATATAGATTATTATTTTATTATAAAAACCATATTATTGATAATTACTTAATTAAACAGATAAACAAATTAGATAAATATATCAATTTTAAATTAAGATTATTCATTTATTAGTGTAGTTTATTATTGTATAATAATCAAGCAATAATTGATGATAATTATTTATCTAATATTTATTATATAATTTATTTTTTGGAATATAATAAAGAGTCAATTACCAATTTCTTGATTTTATTCTTATTGTTATCCATAATTATTAACTTTATATAAATCTAAGTCAAAGTTATCATAATAAAATTAATATTTAAGTATTTAAATTCCTTTTATTCTTTTTGAATTAATTAATACTTATATCTATCAATTATTGTTAAATATTTAAGATAACCTTAAGAAAACTAAAATTCTATTTAGTAACTCAATAAAATCTCAATTTTTTACAATCAGTTATGTCACATTATTATAATATAACAAAATTATGGTTATAATTATTTATAGCATTATAAATATAAATAAAGTATTCAGACTTAAATTGTTATTTGACTGTAAATAGAAAATTTTCACTTGAATATATATAATTTATTGTTAATAGAAATAAAAACATTGCAAAACATATTCATTTATTTTATAATTATTATTATTCTTATTGTTAATTCCAACTTAATGCAAATCTAATATTATTTCCTTAATGTAATTCAGTTTTTTCATTAATATCTTGAAATGAATTTAGACTAGATTTTCTACCAAGCATAGTTGTATATATGCAATTTTTGTTTGAATTTTGAATCATTTTTTTTACAAATGAGACTTCTCCTCCTTCTACAAATGTTTCCTAATTTTAAATAATTCTATTATATTCTCTTTCCTCTTGGTCATCATAAAAAGGAGGATTGCAAACTGTTACCATACCATCTTATAAGAATTAAAATAGATCTCCTACTTTAAATTCACATTCAATATGATTTAATTAGGCAATAGATTAAGCATGATTAATGGCTTATTCTGATGTATCTACTCCAATACCTTTCCAACCATATAATCGATATGCTAAGAAAATCAACACTCCTGAGAAACCTGTTCCAACATCATAGATTTTAATAATGGGGAATTTAGATTTATCGACTTATTCTTTAACCCATTCAATATAATTTAAGCGACATCCTAATGCAGGTATCATTTAAGTTAATGGTACAGTAAATTCACGGATTCCAAAATAATAATCCATAATAGATTTATTCAATTCATTAAGTGCATTTTGATTTTTATAATCAATAATGGTCTCACCTTTATTACTTATTTGAATGTATTTTCTAAATTAAGGGTAATGTTAAGCTAGAGTACGATTGTTGAATTTGTGTTTAAGTTTTTTAATTTACTTTTTTTAGATCATAGCGCAAAAATGAAGTAGTATTTGTATTTAAATATTAAATTAAGCAAAGAATGTAAGTTGTTAATGTGTCTAATAAACAAATCAAGAACTTTAACTTGGACACCATAGTAAGAAATATATGTTTATGTATTAGAATGCTGTATATGATACACACTTAAATTATGCAAAAACTAGATCAATAAATTGTAGTCATAATTAATTGGGATCAACAGATGGTTTCTCTTAATTTCAATGTCTATACAATTTAGATCTAAGTCATAATCGTATTAATTAGTTCTTCTAATTGACTTCATCTTTAGTTGAAATAAATTTGGCTCACAATCTTTTGGGAAGTGTGTTTGATGACTTTTAGAAATCTTTAAAATCATAAGGTACTCGTTTATATGTAGGTTCATTCTTATCAAATTTGAAGAACCTAAAAATAATTGATCTTAGTTATAATAATATATCATAAATAAGTTCCAATATATTTGATGGTAATACTCAACTTCGTAAAATAAATATGAGTAATAATTAATTATCAGGTCCATTGTGGTGTTTTACAAAATTAGAAAATTTAGAGATGTAATATATATATTATAATAGAATTGATATAGGACATAATTAATTAAATATAAATGATTTAAAACCATTAGAAAAACTCAGATTAGAAAGTTTAAATCTTAGATTTAATCCTTTAGAAAATATGGATAAATGTGAAGATAAACTAATTAAACTCTTACTATATACAAGAAAGATAGAATTATCATATACTTAATTGGAATAATAAATAATGATGAATTCTAAATAGAGTTCTAAATTGGATCACAGTATAAATAGCAATGATTCTATTCAATAATAAACAACTGATAGATCAACTATAAGTCGTTTAAGCAAAGTTAGTAATAGACTAACAAGACCTAAGACACCTCAAAATACTAATACAAATTAAATTAATAGAACTCCAGTCAAAATTTAGAATTAATAAGAAGTAAAGAAATAAAAAGGTGAATTAAAAAAGAATATAAGTATAACTCCAAAGAAAAATAATGGAAATAAAACACCTAAATAATAAAGATAGATTTGTATGAAAACAGTAGATTAACATGATGAATAAATTAAACATAGAGATTCATATTAATAATAAAAATCAACAACTAAAATACCTGCTTTAAATTTACAAATGTTAAAAGTTACTCCATTTTAATTAAGTGAAATTGATTCTGAAAGGGAAGATTTTCCTATGTTATTTGAAGAAGATGATGAAAAATAATTACTTGAAGAATTGAAGTTATTAGGTGAGACTATGAAATAGAAGAAACAACATGAAATTAGTATTGAAAGGCAAATTACAATGAATAAAAATATGATTTCATTAATGAAAATCATGATCAAAGGAAGTATCTATATTTATATATAAATAAGTTTATCTTTACAATGTAAATGAATATAATTAAGGATTCGATGATGTAATGACTGAATTGCATAAAGAATTAGAATAAAAAAATCCAGAATTTAAAGATATTAAACTTAAATTAATGAGATTCAACAAAGAACATTACGAATTAAATAAAATGTATTAAAGTTTAGAGTAATCTGAAAGAGTAGTTGATAATATCAAATAATAATTTATTTGAATTACTAATAATTATTGTTATTTCTGTGATCATCTCAATTACTTTAGTATTTCTTAAGATTTCAATATACTCATCTTTTTATATTTACCAAATTATCAATATTATAGTAAATTATAAGGAAATATATAAGATAACTCTTATTATTATCTTATTGTTTATGGTTTTACTCTATTTTAGATAATTGTTTAAGAAATTAAGAGTAGAATATTTCTAATAACTTAGATATCTTTTTAATTCAATTATTAATTATAAATAAAATCTAATAGTATATCTATTATTTTTAATCCAAATTCATTTTGAATCTAAATAATAATATTTAATCTATTATTTATATTATTATTTATATTATTATTTATTAATGCATTAACATCAATCACAGCCATCATTCAATCCTAAACATTTATTTACTATGAAAAAGTATTTCAATGGATATGTGCAATAAAACAGATTTTTTCATAAAAAAACTGAAACCAAATCAGATAGTGGAAGTGAAGTTTTTAAAGAAATTTAGTAACTTCCTCAAATAGTATAAAGAATTGATAGAAGAATTGAGAATGTTAATTATAAATATAAAAGTGCTCCCATGATTGAAAAGAAGAAATAAAACTTACGTAAACTCTCTTTTCCAGTACTCAAATATTCTCCAAGTGAAAATAAAATGTAATTGCAAAAGATAAAAGACTTGATAGAATAACATACCTCACGAGTTATTGTTAAAGATGACATGCTTAAACATATGGTTGGTTATAGCAAAATTTCACAGATGATTATTTGATTATGAATGATAATACTCTAATCCACTGTTTTCTATTCCTTTCTTTTTCTTTATTATCTCTTATAAAATTGACATTAAACAAATACTAATAAGGATATAAATCATTTTTATCCATTAAAAATAGGTCATTGAATATAATTTTATCTAAAAATATTTGGCTATTCCTCTCATAAAAGGTAGTCAATAAATTAATATATATATTATTCTAAAGATAACTAATAATAAGAACTAAAGGTTCTTTATATATAGATTACAATGACATCAAGAATGTTACTTAATTTTATAAATATAATATTAATATAGAGAAAATAGAATTGATTGTTGGAGAGAATGATTTTGAGTTTTTGGAATATAAAATTAAATGATTATATTTGAAGATAATGTCCCAATCGAGATAGCTTAAATGAATAAAATTGAAATATTAAATTGTTATGATTAAGATTTTGTCAAATACAAACAAACTAATCATACTATTTATAATATTCAATAGATATAATAAATCAATTTTTACTTATATTTATTATATTTTGCTAATACTTTAATATGACACAGGTATAATTGAATTCTGTTAAAAATATTTACTTGATTAAAATTTTAATATATATAATGTTTTCAGAAATAATACCTTCATTAATGGAATATTCTCAACATCTGGATCGTACCATTAAGGAATTACAACAATAAATCTTGTAAATGGAAACTATAACGAATAAAACAAATTCACATAAAAGACCTCTTGAAATGAAATATTTATAACATAAATCTTCACTTCCATCAACTCTCCCTGATGTTAATAATGATATAGATAAAATTCTTTAAACAGCTGAATAATTTTTATCTGATCCCAACAAGACATAAATTGAACCTAAGAAATAAGAAAAGCAAGATTTTGAATAACCAAAAAGAAAATTAGAATCCATCAAGTAGTCAAATAACAAGAAGTAAATTCTGTCTCGTAAAGTGAGTCAAAAAAAGTTATCACCTTCTAAAGTATCAATGCATAAAAGATCTGGATCATTATATAAATAAGAAGTGACACCAAAAGTTACTTAAGTTTAACCTAAATTTCCAATGTAATAAAGAGAATCAACTAAATCATTTAAGGATTAAAGCAGATTAATAAAATAATCACCAACTAAATCAATTCATGAGAAAAATTCAATTTTTATTGAAGATTAAAGTAAAGCTAAACCACCTATTCCTGTTGTTTAGCCAGTTAGAAAATAAGCATCATAACCATATTTATAATTATAACCCATCCCATAATAATAATAATAACAATAATAATAAAATTTGAATTCATCTTACTCATAACCATAAAACAATAACAAAATCGAGAACACCTAACAATAATAATAAAATGTATTAAAGAAATTTGATTTTAATGGTTATAAGGAATTGAGTAGATTGAAAAGAATGAAAGATGCCATTTTTGTTGAATATTAATAAAGTTATATATATTTTAGAGAAAAAGAATAAAAATCTAGAGCTAGATTTCTAACTAAATTCCATCAACATATGAATGAAAGAAAAAAATTGCTATAATAATCTGCTTATGGAGATAAATAAACATTTTTTTTCCTTAGTGATTAAATACATCCATAATACTTTTCATTTATTGAAGAACAATTAACTATTGGATAGCCGAAAACTCTTTTAATCCTTAAATATTGCGAATAAGTCTAAAAAACTATTGATTAAATTGAAGTAAGTCTCTATTCTCTATTTTCAGTTTGATGACGAATTGTTAAAGAATCTTAAAAGAGCCAATAAATACAATATTTCTAAGATATCCTTAACAGAATTAATCGAAGTATTTAAATTATGGAGTCAAGTCTAAATTATTCGATAAAATTATCAATAACTCACATAATTTATATAGCCCATACCAGAATTGACCTACGATTTGATATAGTGGATTTGTTTAAGACCTAAAATTATCAAGAAAGAAAAAGTCTAAATGTAATTAAGTCAAAAAGTTATTCGTTCTAATTAATTTGCATCATCTTAGGAAGAAGCACTTGAAACAAATAAACTTATTATAAAAGAAGAGATCTTTCGATTTTTATGGGATATCATTCAAAAATTAGTATTCTCATAATAATAACTTGAAACTTCAATGACTTTATTCAAATCCATTCTCAAATTCCTAACTAAAAACAATTGCAGTATCTATGTGTATAAGAAATCAGATTTATTTATATGACATTAATATAAAATGCATAATTAATTACTAACTAATAGATCTAATATCAAATCTGATCGTATTTCCAAGATCTTATCAGCCTACACTGTTGAAAATGATAAGAATAACCAATAGAGTTTTAGTATGCTAAGTTAAAAAATCAAAAAGAAAGTACAAATTTTAGATATAAAAAGATAGGAAATCAAATAAATGATCATCAAACTCTATATCCTAAACAAGATATCAAACTGAATAAAATTGAAATCTCTAAGTTGTTTAATGAACGCAAAAAGACTCAAATCTAAATCAGTGTTAAAGATTTACTCATGCATAAAAGTTAAATGCAAAAATCATTATCCAAAAAATCTAGAAATTCTAATCAACGTTAAAATGAAATCATTGAAAAATTGAATAAGACATAAAATGAAATCTATAAGAATTACATTGCAAAAAGAGATTCTAATGGATCAAAAACCTATAGAGACTCAAGTAAATACAGCCTCTCTACTTAGGGGATTTGGATATCCGTATCAAGTTGAATAACAAAAGTACTTCAACCCAATAAGCCTTACTCTAAACATTAATCAATAAAAGTAATGAAAAAAAATCAGTTGAACCAGAAGATTCTCCAAATTTATGTAGTACACCATAACTTACAATGCTACAATCTGTAATCTAAAATAGTCTACTTTTACGCTCAGGTAGCCAAGGAAATGTTGCTTGCACTTCTAAATTAAACACTAAATTATCAGAATCTAAACTTTATAAAATAAAAAACTATCTTGAATAAGCTAAAACTCATCGGCCAATTACTGATTCTTATAAATTAAGTTAAGAAATTAATCAAATTAAAAAAACCAAACTAGTCACAGTTGAAAGAAATAAGCTTCTATCCATCTTAAAAATAGCCCTTAGAGCTAAGACTAAAATAGATCAATTTAATGAATATTTAAAATAATAAGAAAAAATTTCATCTGTAATATAGAGTTTAAATTTGAATGAATGTATTTATTCTGTTTTAAGTTAGTATCATCTGAAAATAGTGTTGAATCAATCTTATCTTTAGAATGAATATTATATTTATATATATTCTTTATCATAAATACCTACCTTTTATTAAGATTACCATAAGAATTTATATTTTCAGATAATAAATTTAAACAAAACAGAAAAATATAATAATAATATAAAAACACAATATTATTTATATATATTTAAACTTAAAAATTTTGAAATTATATCATTATAAAATAATTATGTTTTCAATAATAACCTCTATGTTTTGAAATAAAATTAAAACATTGAAAACTACTAACAAAAATTATCATTAATTAGACAAATTTAATGAAATCAATTGATTTTAATATATCATACTAATTTTTATCTTTCATTTTCGAAAATAATTCATTGTTTCCAACAATTTCTTGGCCATTAGACTAGGATTTAATCTTATTATGGAATATTGTAGATTTTCTAAAAAAATGTAAATTCTAAACTCATTGAAATAATAGCAAGTTATAATTATTTATTCTTAGTAGAAACTTTCTTTATTTAATATACCAAAATATGAGTATCATTAAGTCATAAAAAATTTATAAAATGAAATTCAAATGTANAAAATTGAATAAGACATAAAATGAAATCTATAAGAATTACATTGCAAAAAGAGATTCTAATGGATCAAAAACCTATAGAGACTCAAGTAAATACAGCCTCTCTACTTAGGGGATTTGGATATCCGTATCAAGTTGAATAACAAAAGTACTTCAACCCAATAAGCCTTACTCTAAACATTAATCAATAAAAGTAATGAAAAAAAATCAGTTGAACCAGAAGATTCTCCAAATTTATGTAGTACACCATAACTTACAATGCTACAATCTGTAATCTAAAATAGTCTACTTTTACGCTCAGGTAGCCAAGGAAATGTTGCTTGCACTTCTAAATTAAACACTAAATTATCAGAATCTAAACTTTATAAAATAAAAAACTATCTTGAATAAGCTAAAACTCATCGGCCAATTACTGATTCTTATAAATTAAGTTAAGAAATTAATCAAATTAAAAAAACCAAACTAGTCACAGTTGAAAGAAATAAGCTTCTATCCATCTTAAAAATAGCCCTTAGAGCTAAGACTAAAATAGATCAATTTAATGAATATTTAAAATAATAAGAAAAAATTTCATCTGTAATATAGAGTTTAAATTTGAATGAATGTATTTATTCTGTTTTAAGTTAGTATCATCTGAAAATAGTGTTGAATCAATCTTATCTTTAGAATGAATATTATATTTATATATATTCTTTATCATAAATACCTACCTTTTATTAAGATTACCATAAGAATTTATATTTTCAGATAATAAATTTAAACAAAACAGAAAAATATAATAATAATATAAAAACACAATATTATTTATATATATTTAAACTTAAAAATTTTGAAATTATATCATTATAAAATAATTATGTTTTCAATAATAACCTCTATGTTTTGAAATAAAATTAAAACATTGAAAACTACTAACAAAAATTATCATTAATTAGACAAATTTAATGAAATCAATTGATTTTAATATATCATACTAATTTTTATCTTTCATTTTCGAAAATAATTCATTGTTTCCAACAATTTCTTGGCCATTAGACTAGGATTTAATCTTATTATGGAATATTGTAGATTTTCTAAAAAAATGTAAATTCTAAACTCATTGAAATAATAGCAAGTTATAATTATTTATTCTTAGTAGAAACTTTCTTTATTTAATATACCAAAATATGAGTATCATTAAGTCATAAAAAATTTATAAAATGAAATTCAAATGTAAAAATAGTAATAATTAATTTTTGAATGAACTTATTAAAGAATTAATGTTATAAAAATAAAACAAGTTCTTCCTATAAAGTTTTATGTTCATAACATACTAATATCTTTGGTTATCAATTAGCATTTATATGCGAAGAATCTAAATTATTTGGGTTTACAGAGTATGAAAATATTTGGCTTTAGGAATTTTAAATTAAGGAATCATTATTTAGCAAAAATCAATACTATACATCCTTTAATTAAAAACTTGAGGGTCATAACTATGAAATCAGTGTTTTAGAATATAATTCATCTCTTAAGCTATTAGTTTCTGCAAATTTTGAAGAAATGAAATTATGGTAAAAAGATAATTAAAAATAATGGAAGAATAAATAAACATTAATGATATCACTTACGAAAAGATTAATTATAATAAGCGATAAATTAAACTAAATTATTTATTCGCCTTGTAGAAAAATATCTGTATTATAAAACATAGATAAAGAGAATATAAAATTTTCTTAAATTTAATTAATAAAATAATAGGAAAATTTAATTAAATCATTTAATCTTAATGAATAATAGGATCTATTGTTTGTAGAGTAATATGATTTTGAAATTCTTATTTTAAGAGTTTAAGAATAAAAATGGCATAAAATACAACGCCTAACAAATATAAAAGATTGTATATTTATTGGAGTAAAAAAGTTCTTCTTTAATTATTATTCGCAAGATATAGTAAATCTATAATATAAAGTTTTTGCACTTAATAAAAATAATAACTAATTCGAAATAATTCATGAGAAAGAAATTGACTCTAATGAATAGACTTTGGATGAAACATCATTTTTTACAGTTTTTTAGACAACAAAATGTTGTAAAGTGTACCATTCATCATCCAAAGGTATAATCACTTATAGAAATACAATATAAAATTTTGAAAGGGTTTTGGCAGTATCATAAAAAGGATTGTTTATAGTAAGATTGAATTTTTAAGCAAGTTAATTAAATATATATATCAATACATAAAATACTTGATTTAAATTATTTTCAATTTAATATAATTTTATTTAAACTATAAATGTTGTTATTTTGTGTTTAAATCCATTAATAGATATTTCTAAATTTTACAAAAATATTTAAAAATAAAAAATGATCTATCAAATGATATTAAGTAAAATTATCGCAATAAATTTAATTTATAAAATTAAATAATCTTCAATACATAATTCCTAAAATTCTTTACTGAAATAAAATATTCTTAGACTTATTTAATTTTACTTGCCTTTAGAGAAAAAAAAAGCTTCAAATACTAGTTAGATTTTATCTTGAAATTTTATTCAGATAAATATTCTGGTAATCAATTAAATGCATTCATCTCCATCTTCAATAAATCTTTATGTTAATATTTAATTTTTTACTAATTTAATTCAATTATTTTTGAAATTGATATATTATTCTTTGGTGGCATTTTAGAAATTTGATAAGACTAAGAAAAATCTTCCATTATTCTCAAATTATCATTTGAGGTGCAAATTAAATTATTTTCAAAGAAATATCTAATCAACCATCATTTCTCCTATAAAAATTTGTAAAGGGTATAGTTATATTTCTAAATCTAAATCAGCTTCATCAAATATAAAAGGATCATTGAAATATAAAATAGGATACTCTTTTTCTCTTTTATTTTTCTACTAAAAATGATTTAAACTTATTTATAAGTTAATTAAAGATTTCCACAATAAATTTAAATTCAAACTAAAAATACTCTATTCCTTAACTTGCCATCATAAATTATTTAGTATTATGACATTTATTAAATAGTAGAATAATCTCATCTAATACCTTCTTTGCTATAAAATGGGTTTGAGTATGGATTACTATATATATTTAAGAGAATTTTTGTTTTTCAAATTGATTTTTCAATAACTAAATCATGGTAAAAAGAATACAAAACTTTTTTTAAATTAAAAAATATTACATTAAGATATGGGAACTTATTTTTGATGGTCATTTTGTACTTTTAGAATGTGGCAAAACAAATATCTTAATTCGAGTAAATTTCTTTTTTTAAATTATTATAAATAATCAAACTATTTAAAAAGAAACTCTAATAAAGATTATTAGTATAAAATTAAAATTGAATTTTATTGTTATCTAAATAAAAAAAGACTATCAAATTCTTGTGAATTCTTCAAATATTTCTTCTAAACTATTATGCATTACAAAAAAATGCATTAAATGATAGATAGGATTCATATCCATATTTTTTATACTGGATGCTATCATTCTATAAACAATAATTCTAGCAAAAATTGTAAGTGGCTCTATAAGAATTTGTGATATAAAACTATTCCCTAAAACTATTATGGCAACTTAATATTATTTTTATTAAATTTATATTCTACAATAGTATAATAAATTACTTAAATATATAAAAAATAAGTAAGACAAGATTTGGCATCATAAATAAAATTATTAGAATAAATTTACTAATAAAAGCAGCTATTCCTCTGAATCTATAAATAGCTTCAATTATCTTATAAAATATTCTTAATATCAATATCACAATAGGGTTTGCAATTATAAATAGGCAAATAAAAAGAATTTAATTAATTGAATTATAACATTCAAGAATTGATAAGGATAATAACAAATTGAATTAAGAGAGTAATTCTAATATTCTATAACTAAGTTTAATATCTTAGTCACTGTAATAAAATAATGAAACTGTTTAATGGATTACTTTAAATTTTTCTTTGAATATTAAAGAATTTCCCTTATAAATAAGGGACCTTTTATTTTTATGGATGGATGGACTCAAGTTACTTTATTGAGTTATCATTTTTTCTTCAATTCTACAATCTTTGATTAAGTAAAATATATAGATTGTAAATTGTAAAAGTGTCAAAGAACCAGTACAAATTACTAAAACCAAAAATTATTCTAATAAGAAAAAATTATCAGTTTCCAATTCTTATTATTAAGTATTGTTTACAATTATTTTACTAATATTAGTAGAAGTTGTAAGAAAAATATCTCCAAATTTATTACATTCGCAACTTTGCTCCATTGTTTCGTTATTTAATATCCTATTTAAATTGCATTTATGAAACTTACCAGAAATTGTTCTCATAACACACTACATCTCATATACTTTTAATATTTAAGTATCATTTGCACATATTTAATAGTTTCCAAACTTTGTACTGTATTTAGAAGGTAAATCTTCAAATTAAATAAACCTGTTTTTGTATACATTTTTTAATTTTATTTAGTAATAATATTTAGAGTAAATTTTTAAGCTTTCATCATTTAATTCTTTTTACAGAAGATTATCTAGATCTGCAGAAAATCTTAAAGGATTTGATAAAAGATATGTTGATTCGTATTAAATAAAATCTATTAGATAATCTTCTTTTGTTGCTTCAATATTAAATTATGAATTGAAGACTTATTTTGTTCTTCTTTTAATCTACTAAAGAATCTCGTCTCCTTAAATGACAATAGGCTTATCGTTTACAAGAATTGTATTTTATGTGATCTCTATTATCATAGGAATATATTTTAATAATCCAACTATCATTTGATAAATTGTTTCATTTTTTATATCAACTGTTGAGAAATCTGAATATATATCATCAAGAAAGTATAACAGATTAATTAAACCCTCCTAAGAATTTTCATACTATTAAAAGATCTCTTCATTCCAAATAAATTAATTTCGATAAAGCTCCTCTTCACTTTATTTTTTTATTTTACTTAAATATTTTAGAGCCTCGTCTAATTTAAGAGTTTTTTATTTTAAGTCTTCTATTTTTTATGTTAAATTAATCTAAATTTCAGTGGGAGGGTTTGTAACATAAAAGTATGTTGTATATGGATCATAGCACATTTATAAAGATTCTTCATTTAATAAACGATTTTTAGGTTTAAATGATGCTGATTTGTTTAAAAACTTATTATATAATTTTATAGCCTAAAATTTAAGGTTATTATCATTTGAATCTGGCAAAATTGACTAATAAAGTAAATCATGATAAACTGCTCTATGTAATTGATGACAATTCTGATTCATTGCTTCAAATAATAATGATATCTTATTTTATAAGGTATAATTCTAATATTAAATTGAAGTACAATTAATATTAGCAGATTTCTAAGTAATCTTTTCAAAAACATTAGATATCGATCCTCCACCATCAAGTCCTTAAATAAGGACTCCTACTGCCGAAAAGTCAACTGATGTAGAAATCTTAAATGAGAAATAATTTTAATTCTAAAATGGATAATAAATTAAAGAATAGTCTGATTAGCCTTGCAAAAACCAAATCAAATCTGATTCTCTCAAAAATAATCTAAGTTAATATCTATAAGGATAATCATTAGATTATTAACATATTGTTGTAACATTGATATCAGTTAGTGCCAAGTCACTTGAAAGAGCGAGAAATATTTTTGAACATTAAGGAGGTTA